ACTGTTTAATATTCCTACAAACACAAAAATACCTTATCAAACTTACTCATTTTTGTACACACAATTTCTCAACTCTTAATCTTTCATATAATATCTTCATAGACACTCCAATCCACACAAGAAAAATTTCTGAAGCAGTTCAAACAACTCTCAGCATACAATTTTGTACCTTCTAGTGGTTATATAAAAAATATTTTATTGAACCAAAATATTGTTTCATATTGTTATTTCTCTTGTTGTTTGCTTGCTTTTTGTTACATCTGTGAAATTAAAAAAAGTAGCGGGTTAATCAAATTACCATCAACCTTTTACAGATTGGTAAACCTGTCTTATTGGTGGCATTTAACCCCCTACAACATTAACAATTCAAGTTAACAGAAAAGTTCATGCAGCTCCTGCTCCAAAAACAATGATATCTTTAAGAAAGTCTTCACCAGATGATGATTTTGAGATCAGAATTTTTTTTTTTAATTTACATTAAGCCATTAATACCATTAATCTATCAATATCTCACAAGTCACAATATAAAATTTAGTTAACATTTTTTGTATTTTCAAGGATTTGAAAAGGTTCTCAAATGATGTAACAATAAAAATCTTGTCAAATATCAGTTATTTTTTGAAGGGCTTCTTAGTATGGCTAATAATTTTTTCAGATGGAGCCTAGTTTCTACTCTGCTAATTGTTGCAGAACCATTTACTTTCTGCATCCTCTAGACTATCAATGACATTGCATTTTCTTTTGAACATTTGAATGCTTTTCATTAGTGTTGAAACTTTGTTACCTTTATTTAAGATAACTGGCATATTTATTTTCTTTTTTGCCCAACTGAAGATACTTATTAAAAGTTGATTTTATTTTTTTTAATCCATAAAGTGTTTACAGAGTTTTGATGTCATGAAACTGGGGATTGATAAATAAATAAAAATAAATGACCTAAATTTCACCATCTCTAAAAATAAACAAATAATAAAAATTACTGGGCAACGCCATAGTTCAACCAACCAAGCAAAAATCTTTCACAACTAGGATGTTAGAAAAGAAACAAATAAGGAGACCAAAATTTTGCCATCTCTAAAAATAATTTGATGAACCAATCAGAAAGCTTCATAGGATATAAGCCACAAGTCAATGAAAACCAAGCAACCTTATCAAAGTGGAGCCATAGATGTGTATATAAACAGATGGAAAATCAACCAAAACCAGAGTCAATAAATTAATTTTGTCCATTCTTCAATGCTGCAGTCATCATAACATACCCAGAATCAAAATACAATATTTGCACAACTACCTGACAAATTTAGATGGCTAACCCATCCTTGCTACAATGAATTGTAGCAAGGACACTACTACATTTGGATATGTCTGTCTTAACTTTTTGGCGACCAGACTGATCAGTGGCTGAAAAATTTTCATTATGAGGAGACTAGGTTGGTAGTCTCCTAGTTGCTGCTTCCATCTAGTAGTAAAGAGCCTAAACTCTTAGGAAGTGCTTAGAGAGGTTGCTCTGATCAACAGTCTCATAATATCAGGGTATTTGTAGTACCATGGGTAGGTGTGTCCCTGCATATATTTCTAGTGGGCTCACATTATACTTTTTGCCTTAGCCAACTTTTGGTTAGTTTGTATTTCCATAGATGATAGTAATAATTATTTTGACCTTTTTCCTCTTAAAAAAAAAAAAAAAAAAAAAAAAAAAAAGAGCTTATGATAGATACAATGCAAAAAAAAATGAGTAAAGCAGTAACCAAAAAATCACTTACTCTCCTTCAACCTTTCTTTCTTCAGTATTCATGGAATTCATTCAAATTTCTATAGTAGAGAATCTTTTTTTCTTTAAACATTTTCCAGATACATTTGCACTTTGCTAAAATAATTTAATGTTTTTTATCACCACCAATGAATTATCTGTTCTGAGCTAGCTTCCACTTTGTTGGAAAATCTTCCAATTGCAATAGAATTGTCTCTTGAGTCCCCAGAAGATTCTTTCATGTGCTTTCAACATTCATTATTGCACTCTATTAGCTATCTCTTTTACCTTTATCACTCTCCTTCTTCTCAGGACTGTAATATATTAGAAAAAATTTCTGATAATATAAAAATGGCTCTCTCTCTACATTCTTCTGCAAACATCATTGTGTTTAGTGGTTTTAATGCTCATCATGTCAAGTGGCTTAATCATTCTGATGTTACTATTCAAACATTCAATTTTTACATTGCTTAGTCTCTTAGTTAAACAGTGGATTTCCCTAAAAGATTTTATCAACATGTTTCTTTACTTGATTTGTTTCTTACCTTCTCTCTGGCTCTTATCAAGTATCACAACTGTCCTCTTAGCAATTCAGATCACACAGTAGTATGTGTTGGTATTTTTTTTTTGAGTTGTCTGTTAGAAAAGAAGCTCAGGACAAATTTTTGTACTAATTCAGTCTTTCTTATCAAATTGCAAAATGAAAGTTGTTTTGAACAAGAATTCTTTCTAGATCTTTTTGAATCAATGCAAGCATATCCTTGAACCTAATTTTCATCAACGACCTTCCTGATGCCATCAATTGTTAAATTGGTATCTAGGCTGATGTTACAACTATTTACTCCCATCTTAATAGTAAGTCTGATTGGCTTGATAATTTCAAATTGCTAGCTGATCTCAAAAATGATCTACAAGTTGTTAACTGGGTCAAGGAATGGCTTGTTAATTTTAATACCTCAAAAACAAAACTGTTTTCTATTAATTGCCCGACAGAACCCTTTTTGCCTCCCATAAGCATGGCTGATTCTAACATCCAAGAGAGTGGCTCATTGTGCCTTCTCAGACAAATGTTTTCCACTGACATGAAGCAGAAAGATTATATTGAATCAATTGTTAGGTTTTGCTACAAGGAAAGTTGGTTCACTATATCATACTAGACAATTTTTCTCACTTGAATCTGTCTTACACATTTATAAGTATGCTATTCATCCATGCTTCAAATATTGCTGCCATATATGGCTTGGTATTTAGAGATCCTTGATAATATCCAAAGAAGAATCTGCAATGTTATTGGTCCTGACATGGCAGCTTGCCTTCAGTCAATTTCCAACCACCATAATGTAGCTTCTCTGTGTCTTTTCAATACATACTTTTAATTGGTAATTGTTCTGATGAACTTTCCTCTATGGTACCTGAATTTTATGAACTTAAGCACAGTTCAAGATTGGTGGCAAGGTTTCATTATATTTCAGTTGAAATGGCTACATGTAATCCTAAGTTCTTTTCTCACCCTTCTCACTTGTGGAATTCTCTTGACTTCTTACTTTCTTGTCAAGTTTGATCTTTAGAATGTGAAATAGTTATATTCTATGTTTTTAATTCCTGTCTTTTCATTGTTCTTAATCCTTAATAATATTTTTCCTCTTCTTATATTGTTTCACACTCAGTAACCGCTTGTGTCTTAGTGGCTGGCTTTATTGCCTTGCTTGGGGGTAAAATGATTATATATATATATATATATATATATATATACACACACACACACACACACTTACACCTGGACACTTACTTACACACATGCACACTCTCTTTCTCTCTCTCATGGGCTAAGACTTTTACATGTGAACTCTTGCTTGGAACTTGAACTTTCACCTTATCCTTCTGTATTATTATATTGTGCTATATAAAGATTTATTTTGTATTTTTTCAACACTGCATTATCTTTTAAGATAAGCGACTCATCCAGAACAGAGAATCTCCTAAAGTCCCATAAAATATTAAATTATTTCATTCATTAGTTTGGGAAACTTTCGAAATATGAATCCTTGTAAATAGAGAAATATTAAACATGTAAATACTAAAAGTAATATTGAAGAATTACAAACTACCACATTTTATTATGGGATACAACTATATGTTTGCATTTGCATAAATGAAGATATTTATTTATGTTTTTATACAGATTATGTTCATATATTTTAAAATATCTAAAAGTATTTTTGTTCCCTTTATAATACTAAAGAATCAAATACAAATTAGTCTTTGTTACCATTAATGATAGTCAAATCTCTTCAAAAGACAGAAATAAAGCTGGCAATGTTTGTAGTGAAGAAAGACAATATTAAATAGTAGTGGGTGGGTTGAAAATGTTCTTGGCTACATCCACTTTCTAATATAACTATTTTGATTTTCAGTACTCACTTCAGAATTCCACTTTCATTTTTAGATTCTGATAAGCAGGAAGAGTTAATCAGTGTAAAATATTCCAACTGGTTTCTCTTTGTCTTTACTGACACTTCAAACGATAAAACATTCTTAAGTTCTGCCTATATTCAAATGGATATATTGTAAACAAGCAGGTTTCCAAGATAAAACATGAGTTACATAAGGTCAGAAATTCAAATCAAAAGAGATAACAGTACTGTCTATTATAAGTTTATTGTTCTCTATTTTTAAAAAAATGAGTAAAAAACATAAATAAAAAGGGTTCAGGCTCCTTTTCTTAGTTTTCTTCCAATCTTTTGTGGTGATTGTCAGAAGCCTGGCATTGAAAATAAAGTAGAAGTAACAGGTTTGAGGACAAATGAAGAAGACACAACCAGCATCCAACCCACATATAAAGAATGTATTTAAATTTGAAATTAGTTTCTTCTTTAGTCTAGGTCACAATGACCTTTTTCCTCAGTTTTTCATAATATTAACAACAAATAGTAAAACTCTTAAAAGAGCATTTTTAACAAAACACTAAATTTATGTCAATGTTTTGATAATTCAAATAGAAACCAAACTTTTCTTTTTCCATATTTATTACAATTATCTGTTTTGCTCCTGATTTGAGTATTTGGCAAGAAAAAAATTGTATTTTGAAGTATGTATGCCATATTTTCATTATTATTTCACAAGCTTTTCAGATAAAAAAAAGTGCACATATTCTTTTGAAAGTTTTTTTTTTAAGTATTTATTAAAATTGTCTATTATATTTTCCTCTAACAAGAACAAAAAGTGAATCTAAGAAGAAAGTTTGCCTTACTTTGTTTGTCGACTCAGTGCCTTCAATCGTAAATCCTCCCAGCGATTGTTAAGTAATGCCATTTGAACTCTGATTTCATGTTCCTCTTCTTCATTCACTTTCTTTTCATTAATCAAATCAGTGCCTTCTTTTAAGACATTACCAACACTGTCCTGATGTTTTGTTAGATCCAGCATAAACTCCTGGAAAAATCATTTTAGACAAGATTTTCATTACAAAGGAAAATTTTGATGAAGAGGAAACTTAATTATAAAGAACAGCAATAAATTAGAAATAAAACAGAAAATAATGTTGCTAAAAGTGATACAACACATGAAAATTATGTCTATTTAATTTGTGGGAAATGAATGTCCTTGAAAATGAGTGTATACTGTATCAGTCTGTATAAGTGCAACTATATTACCATACAATGATGTGAATGAATATAAATGCACTTTGTTGTATTTTTCATATGAGTGTGTGCATATGTTTGAAAATGTTTCTGCAGATATGTGCAAACATAATTATGTTAAGGATGCATATACATATAGGTTATTCCAACTCAACCAATGGTCCCATGAGAACCATCTCAGATTTTTTATGAAATTTTAGTATATAGTACCTTAAAGTTATAGTTTACTTAGACTTTAGTTCAAGAGTTATGGCCTAGAAATTCTATCCATTTTCATCACTATATGGAATAAGTTAGGGAAAATCCAATAGAGGAATAACTTGATAAAAAATTTTCCCAATTTTACACTTCAGTAGGTAACAGCATTAATTTCAAAAAAGCAAATCAGAAACTATACATCAGAGACAAATGAGTACAACGTTTGGAAAGTCATTTTTAATTACTTATCATACTAAGTGTATGTTCTTAAGAATTTGTTTCTTTTCCTCTGAAGTATACTTTTATTTACCAGTGGAACAGTTTGTCATTTTTTATTACCTTTTAAAATTTTTTACCCCAACAATAATTTAATACCATTCAGGTAAGTAATTAAAGAAGGCCTCACAAAATAAGATAGTATTTAACCTAAATAATTTCTTATTAATGCTGACATTTTACTGAGGATTTATTAAATTTTATAGCAACGTGCATCAATTATTTCACTTATTTTTCACCTAATTAATAATATTTTCTGAATAAATATTTCAAAATGAGAATATATCAAATTTATCAGAACATGAATTTTGACCATTTGCATTTTGCTTGAGCCAAGAAGGCCTTTTTGTTATCGAGATAGAGCAGGATAGGTAGCAGCTCTATTTTTGATTAATGCTTTCAATTACTGAATTTACTATAGAAAACTATATGCAAAAATTAACTTTAGTGAAAACATGGTGATTTGGAAAGGGAGTCTACACCAATTTTCAGATTGAAGCAGGAACCAGAGTTATTTACAAATTTGTCAGACCTAATATTCTAAAATAAAAATATATTAAATCCACCATACCATAGATTATCAAGGTCAAAAGTCTGTACCCTGTTTGAATTTTAAAGTAAAATCTTTCTAAGGGGTCTATCATTTTCTATGGTGGGTTTACTAAGTTAGCAATGAATAAGGTTTTTTCTTTTACTTTTTTTAAATTTTTATGACTGAAAGATAAGAGATGGAGCTATAATTTAGCAAAATTTGAATCCTGAATTCAACTATGTTACTTGTCAAGCTTTCAAAAAAGCATAAAATTCATTTTAAGGATTAGTAGGAAATTTTTGTCAACTAGGAATTACGTAATTTTTATAAAACCAAATATTTCATTTTTTCACATGGCAAATCATCAAATGATTATAGTCATCTTTATTTATTATTCTATTGCTAATGGTTTAACATCTATGTGGAAAAACACCCATAATAAGTGATATGTCCAAGAAAGGGATATAGTTGATCAAAGTAGCTAAGTGGTTTAAGCTACTGTAACTGAGTAGAACAATCTAGCAGGTAGCAAATTTCAAGAAGTCAAAATTGCTGAACTAAATTAAAATTTTAGGGTTTTTCATTTCTCATAAGTGGGTAGCATATATTAAAATTTGATATGGTGCCCATGGAACCTGCCCAAAAAATTGGTTGAGGTGATATGGAAGAACCCATATTTGTATTTGCATAGATTACTTCAGATAATGCAGTATTTCATGTTTGTAGGACAGACATATAATTGTAATAATTCATAAACAAATATATATATATATATATATATATATATATATATATATATATATATATAATTAAAATAATACTCAAAAGCATAACAAGCAATCACTCTAATATAATTTATAAGACAGAATGGTAAATCAAGGAGAGACACCTTGAGTGAATTGCTGAAATCTTTAATGACTGTATAACAAAAACTGTAAACAAGTATCAATTTGGCTGGTTTTTATTCTGATAAAGCCTTTTTAGAAACCAATCCATCATCTTACCAAGAAATACTACAGCAATCTAAGAAACTAACAATTTATATTACATTCCAAAATATATGGGGAACACACCAAGTAATATTTTATCTAAAATTAAAACTACATACAGAATTCATAAAAATCAGTCAAACTGCATACTGATAAACACACAAATATTCAATGACATTTAAACTCACCATTAAAATGCTTTGGATGTAGTTGATCACAAATACATAATATGAAGAACTGTATAATACAATAGGAACAACTAAATTTTAATGTTTGTATAAAATATTTATATGGGAGAATAGTTTTTACAATTAAAGACCTTATTAGTAACAATAAAAAATACTTTAGCATAATCCACTGACCTAAGAAATGATTTATAATGAAAATTAACCCAGTTATTTTATATTGTATAGGAAGATCTGAAAATTGTGTAAGTAAATGAAATATGACATTTTCATAAATACTTGATTTATAAGAGACATAACAAAGAAAGAAACTGAAAAGTTACACAGGTGAATAGGTCCAAATAAACATAAAACTTTCATCTTAATTTGACATTATAACTTTACTATTATTTCTTTTACTAATGCCTCAAGATTTTCAGTATATATCTTTAATAAATTTGACAAGATGCAAAAATATCTAATAAATTTCAGAGAGAGATTAAAAATGAAACTAACAATAAAACTGAATAAATTTTTGAACATGTAGTTTATTTCTGATCTTAGTGATAAATTAGTAAGAGTAGAAATAACTTTCATTATTTATTGTGTATCTGTTAGAGAAAATATATTATAATAGGGTTGGCGGGGGGGATTTTACCCCTGAACTGATGGAAGATCACTTTGAACAGGTTTGAAGCCTCAATTCAATTGATCAAATTATTTTCTGCCATTGAACTTTTTAGTAATTAGGTCTTTATTCATCAACATCTAAATACATTCCTTTTCAAATATCAGTGATTTTCCCCCCATTTATAAAAATTAACTTCAAAGCAGACAAATATTTTTTTTATTTATTTATTTTAGAAAATTTATATTTTCTTCTATCACATAAAAACTACATTTAGCTAAAGAACTAAAGAAGTTGTAGAAAGCCATGATTGGCCACATGCTGAAAGGACATAGCACATAAAAAGAAAAATAACATAATTTGTTCAATAAACAAGTGTCATGCTTATAGATTATTATTTTTCATTCAAATTTTATAGACTAAGTTAATCATTGGTACAAAGTCTAAACTGAATTCTACTAAAAGAAAGATCACTCAGTGAAACCCTGTGGATTTTCCTTTTTTTTTTTTACTGGAGATCTATAGAAACACAAAACAAAAATTTTTGTAATAATCTTGTAGATTCATTTTCACACAGATTTATTACTGATTGGCACAAATCTTATTATGTATTTGATAATCATCATCAAGATAGCAAAGTAGATGAATGAAGTAAAATTCAAAGGACTTATATACTCTATAATTTTCATATCTACAGGTACCTTTTCCACAATCATATTGATTTTAACAAATGATTAAATATCAAAGAGTTTCCTAACAATACTAAAGAGTGAACCTTTCTTGAAATTGCTGTTTCATATTTGTTAATACTGTCAATACTAAGACATTGAATTTTACCCAAATGCTACAAAGTGCCTATGGTCAAATTATGTCAGAAGCACCATCTCATCTTTGAAGTTAAACAATATTAAGCCCAACCATTAAGGAATACAAGGTACTAGAAACAACTAATTGACTTTATTATTATCATCTAATGTGTTGATATTTTTTAATCATCTAAGGATTTTTCAACCATTTTGTTTTCATTATACTGCTCAATATGGTAATCTGCCATCTTCTTGAAGTAAGATTTGTGGGTTTTCATTGATTTATGATCCCAAATAATACAAAAATTAAATTAAATCTTCCATTTTCTGTTTTTCAATGATATCCATGTTCCAATGGTCATTATATAAATTACCATTGTTGGAACAATAAAATAGATTAATGGTTTATATTTGACTTTCAAACTGTTATTAAATATCCAACTCTTTCTTTAATCATATACTTCATACTTTAATAGATTCCTATTTTGTAGAGATTGCAGAACCACCACCAGCAACAACCTCATGATAGACTGGATCCATAACCTCATGGGGGCCATAAATCATTCCCAGAAGTATCCATCATTACCAACTCCCCAAGATTAAAAGTTTAGCTGCCATTGGAAAAATTGATGGCAATTGTGTTTTGGAATGCAAAAATCTTGCTGCAAGTGAATTTCATGCCACATGGACAGACAGTTAATGCAGTCAGATACTACAAAACACTAGACATAATTTGGGTGAGGATTATCATCTGCTTGGGCACCTCAAATAACATTTATCTGGAAAGTGGTCACACACAAATGATGTTGTTGTTGTTGCAAAAGAACAAGGTTGGTTCCAGTTGTCAGGCATCACATTAAGGTGCCCATGCACCTGATCAAACAAATTGCATTTACCTCTATATAGTGACTACATGGAAAAAGGATAGTAGTGCTGATAACATATGTACAATGTTTTATTTTATAGTAATAAACATGTTGGAGTAGTAAATGTCTTTACCTTACTTTTTGGGGCTCTCTCATATCAATGATGATTATTAACTATTGCATTCACTCACTTAAATCTGAACTGAATAATTTCTACAACCAGACAGAATAGATTCTATCTGGTTGTAGAAATTATGGTGTAAATCAATGATTTTATCCTTTAAACTTTCATCCAAGGTATCAATCAAACAGATAACCTTGTATAGTAATCC